AAGGCAAGGAGGGATGTTGATGCCCTGATTTCCCCCGGGAGTGAGTTCCACAGGTGAGGGGCCACCACTGAGAAGGCCCTGCTCCTCGTCCCCACCAGCCTCACTTGTGATAGAGGTGGGGTCGAGAGCAGGGCCTCCCCAGATGATCTCAGATTCCGAGGTGGGACGTAGAAGGAGATACGTTCGGACAGATACACTGGACCGGAACCGTAAAGGGTTTTGTAGGTCAAAACCAGCACCTTGAATTGTGCTCGGAACTGAACCGGCAGCCAGTGGAGCTGACACAGCAGGGGGTGGTGTGCTCCCTGTATGTCGCTCCGGTGAGCAATCTGGCTGCCGCTCGCTGGACCAATTGAAGTTTCCGAACAGTCTTCAAGGGCAACCCCACGTAGAGTGCGTTGCAGTAGTCTATTCGGGATGTAACAAGAGCGTGGACCACTGTGGCCAGATCAGACTTCCCAAGGAACGGGCGCAGCTGGTGCACAAGTTTTAATTGTGCAAAAGCTCTCCCGGCCACCGCTGAAACCTGTGGTTCCAGGCTCAGCTATGAGTCCAGGATCACTCCCAAGCTGCGAACCTGTGTCTTCAGGGGGAGTGCGACCCCGTCTAACACAGGCTGTAACCCTATACCCTGTTCGGCCTTACGACTGACCAGTAGGACCTCTGTCTTGTCTGGATTCAGTTTCAATTTGCTAGCCCTCATCCAGTCCAACACAGCAGCTAAACATCAACTCAAGGTCTGGATAGCCTCCTTCGTAACAGGTGAGAAGGATAGCTCGTTAGGCGCCTGAGAATCGTCAGGCTGGGAGCCATCCTCCTCCATCTGCACCTGGCTAGTTTCCCTAACATCAGAAACATCATCTGAAACATTCCTTGCCATGGGAAACTGAGTCTCCTCAGATCCTTCTTCAAAAACAACAGGGACATCTTCATGAATCTGAATCCCATCATCTTCTGCCTGAGGCTCCAGCTGAGCCACAACAAAAGCCAGCCCTAGAAACTGTGGCATAGACACCAAGAATTGGGAAGCCCTGGTCCTTGAGCACTCTAACTGGAGGTCAACTGTGACCAGCAGTGCTATGAAATTCGAAGAGGCACGAATGGAGGGTGAAACAGAGAAGGCACCATTGGAGAGCAAAAGGCCAACCCTGACGGGGATCGCCTTCCATCTGGAAACCAATGTCCTCACTGTGGGAGAACATGCAGATCAAGAATAGGGCTCCACAGCCACCTACGGACCCACCGCCAAGACCCTGCATCTGGAAAACCATCATCCTCAAGCTACGAGGGATTGCCTAAGTAAGTAAGTAACTGGCAAAGAGAGGGAGAAAATGTGGAGGCCATGGCAAGCTTTGTATTTCTAAGTGAGAAGATGACTGCAGATGCAGACTGCGGCCAGGAAACCAGAAGACGTTTCCTTCTTGGGAGGAGAGCAAGGACCAATCTTGATAACAGAGGGAAGAGGCAACACACAGACAACAAAGATCCACGGAGCAGTGTGAGTCCCCACTGTTAGCCCCAGCTTCTGCCAACCTAGCAGTTATGCTACTCTGCTGCTGAGTACACATGCCCAGTGTGGAACACATCTCACCACTAAAACAGTGGATGTGGCTCTTAATGAGACATGCCGCATTATCACGGGTGTCTGCGTCCTACACCACTGGAGAAATTACACTGCTTAGCCGGTATTGCACCACCTGACATCTGCCGGGAAGTAGCAGCCAATAGTGAAAGGACCAAGGCAGAGACATCTCCAGCTCATCCCCTGTTTGGGTATCAGCCAGCACGTCAACGACTTAAATCAAAAATAGTTTTCTAAGATCTACAGAGACACTTGCTGGAACATCTCAGCAAGCGAGAGTCCAAAAGTGGCAGGCTCAAACCCAGAACCTCGATGTTACTTTTAATTGCATTTTTAATGTTGTAAGCTGCTTTGCATCATAATCAAGAGACAAAATTGGTATTACTACCATCATATCGGAGCCCCTGGTGGCACAGTGGGTTAAACCGCTAAGCTGCTGAACTTGCTGACCAAAAGGTCCGCGGTTTGAATCCAGGGAGTGGTATGAGTTCCCACTGTTAGCTCCACCTTCTGCCAAACTAGCAGTTATGTTACTCTGCTGCTGAGTACGCATGCCCAGTGTGGAACACAACTCACCATGCTAAAACAGTAGATGTGGCTCTTAATGAGACATGTCGCATTATCACGAGGTGTCTGGGCTCTACACCACTGGAGAAATTACACTGCTTAGCCGGTATTGCACCACCTGACATCCGCCGGGAAGTAGCAGCCAATAGTGAAAGGACCAAGGCAGAGACATCTCCAGCTCATCCCCTGTTTGGGTATCATCCAGCACGTCAATGACTTAAATCAAGAAATAGTTTTCTAAGATCTACAGAGACACTCGCTGGAACACCCAGCAAGCGAGAGTCCAAAAGTGGCAGGCTCAAACCCAGCACCTCAATCAGTGACTGATACCAGATGAGAGACTCCCCCCTGGGCACACAGAAGACGGCGCAACTTGGAAGGCGCTGAACAGACTGCGCTCTGGCACCACGAGATGCAGAGAAATGGGGCCACAAAGTGGAATCCACGACATGCTGCAATGCAACCTGAGCCCTGCTACATGCACAATGGAGGATCTTCTTGTGGCAATACCAGAAGCACTCCAAGTGGCCAGATACTGGTCAAAGGACATCTAATCAACTACCAAACTTGCAAACTTTGTGTTTTGTCTGTTTGTTTATTAAAAAAAGCAATACAACTGTTTGGTTTCCTCCTGACACGATAAATAAATAGTTCGAAAACATGCAAATGTGAGTAGATCAATAGGTACCACTTTGGCGGGAAGGTAATGGCACTCCATGCAGTCATGCTGGCCAGATGACCTTGGAGGTGTCTATGGACAACGCCGGCTCTTCGGCATAGAAATGGAGATGAGCACCAGAGTCCCAGAGTCGGACACGACTGGACTGAATGTCAAGGGGAAATCTTTCCCTTTCCCTTTTCCATCATAACATCAGCTTATGTGTCCTTGCCAGATTGCTTTTGCGTCCTTGGCCACACTGCTAAACTAAACTGGTTCCCAATTATTGTGCTTAAGATTGTATGTCTGTGTGTTTTTATGGACAGTCGGGAGGATTTTGACACCAAAATCCCTCTTATGAAATGTTTATTAAAAAGCTTGCCAGGGACGCAATTGCTGCAACGGTTAGGTTTTAGTAGCTGCTCTCAGCCTGGCGTTTTCGCTGCCCTAACAGCTCCATTGGGAAGCTCTGCCGTTCATAATTCAGCCATCATTAATGTGGAAGACGGCGTCGCTTATGGTTTCCCCAGCGTGGCATTTGTGGGGAATTTCAGACATGTGCTGCTTTTATGGTTACAATCTGCCCCCAAAGGCCGCCCATTCATCCAAATGCATTCGAGGAGAGGGAGGGAAATTATCCAGAGAATGGCCCAGCGAGACACCAGAAAAACAAGAGTTCCTTCCTGCAACACACAAAAATACAGGTGGGATCCACCACCAATTGTTGTAGCATGGAGGTCAGGATTTCAGCTGTTCCTTGTTCGCTTGTCCCTCTTTCAACCATCAGATAATAGTGGGTTGCTGTAAGTTTTTCAGGCTATACGGCCATGTTCCAGTGGCATTCTCTCCTGACGTTTCGCCTGCACCTGTGGCTGCACCTGAGAGGTTTCTTCAGAGGTCTGCTGAACTTGCCTCATTTCTAATACACCTCTGAACAAACCCCCGAGGATGCTTGCCACAGATGCAGGCAAAACGTCAGGAAATAATGCTACTGGAACAGCTCGAAAAACACACGGCCTGAAAAACTCATCTATCTCTATCTATCTATCTATCCATCCATCCATCCATCCATCAGTCTATCCATCCATCCATCCATCCATCCATCCATCTATCAGTCTATCTATCCATCCATCCATCAGTCTATCCATCTATCCATCCATCAGTCTATCTATCCATCCAACCATCCATCAGTCTATCCATCCATCTGTCAGTCTATCTATCCATCCATTCATCCATCTGCCAGTCTATCTGTCCGTCTGTCCATCCATCCATCTTCTCTCTCTCTCTGTTCATCCATCCATCCATCCATCCATCCATCATCTTATCTATCTCTCTGTTCATCTATCTATCGATCGATTGATCGATTGATATATCCAACCATCTATCTGTCATCTTCTCTTTGTCTATCTATCTATCTATCTATCTATCTATCTATCTCATCTCCATCCATCCATCCATCCATCCATCCATCCATTCCCTCCATCCATCCATCCATCTATCCATCCTCCATCCATCATCTATCCATCTATCCATCCATCCATCCATCCATCCATCAGTCTATCCATCTGTCTGTCTATCTATCTATCTATCTATCTATCTATCTATCTATCTATCCATCCATCCATCCATCCATCCATCCATCCATCCATCCATCCATCCATCCATCCACTGCATCTACCTATATATCTGGCCATCCATTTGCTATGTTTTTGAAAGCAGGGAGAGAGGAAGCCATCTTTAGCTCCTTAGGAAGGAAGTTCCAGAGGTAGGGGGCAACCACGGAGAAGGCCCTTTCTCTCGTTCCCACCATTCGTGCTTGGGACGGGGGTGGAACTGTGAGAAGGACCTCCTCTGATGACCACAGTGTCCGAGTTGGTCTGTAGAGGGAGATGCGGTTTGCCAAACAGCTTCTTAAGATCTATAGAGATACTCGCAGGAACACCTCAGCAAGCAAGAGTCCAAAAGTGGCAGGCTAAAAATCCAAAACCTCAGTCAGTGGCTGAGCCTACACTGTGGTCTGAGCCCTTTCACATGCACAATGGAGAACCTTCTTATAGCTTAAGCGGCTGAGGGAGAAAAGGAAGGGGCCTGAGACCAGGAATTCTGGGAGTTGAAGTCCAAAACACTTGGAGAGGGGGCCAAAGTTTGTCCATGCCTAGTATAACCTATAAGCAGCATATTTCAGTGCCTTACCTGTCCTGAAGGCGGAGAGACTATCTTCCTTGCCAGGTTGCCAGACAGGTACGCACCCGACGTCGGATGAGGCCTGGTACTGGGTCAGGATGTGATGCAGTTGGGCAGGACTCAAGGCTGGGAATTCAGATCTCAGCATGGGCCAGGTCATCTGAGCAAAGCGAAAACAAAGTGTACCAAGCTTTATTTATATTGCAAACTATACCACTATTCCACTTTAACAGCCATGGATCAGTCCAAGAAACCTTTTGGAAACAGCTAGTCAAGTATGCCGTTGTTAGAAGTCGACCCTTTGGACAAGTGATATTCATAAGCATTCATGTAATGGCACACAGGTAACTTAGTTGTTAGACTGAAGAACCATGTCTTTAAACTGCCAAAGACAAAGACATGCCACTACAAAAACGTATTTGGTTAGCATTTAATTTTAGAGTTTTTGAAATACTGTTGAAGGTTTTCATGGCCAGAATCACTGGGTTGTGAGTTTTCTAGGCTGTCATGTTCCAGCAGCATCCTCTCCTGACGTTTCACCTGCATGTGTGGTAGGCATCCTCAGAGGTTGTGAGGTCCATTGGAAACTAGGAAAATTGGGTTTATATACCTGTGGAATAATGTCCAGGGTGAGAGAAAGAACTCTTGTCTGCTTGAGGCAAGTGTGAATGTTGCAATTGGCTACCTTGATGAGCACTGAATGGCCTTGCAGCTTCAAGGTCTGGCTGCTTACTGCCTGTTTACATATCTGAGGAATAATGTCCAGGGTGAGAGAAAGAAATCTTGTTTGCCTGAGGCAAGTGTGAATGTTGCAATTGGCCAGCTTGATTAGCACTGAATGGCCTTGCAGCTTCAAGGTCTGGCTGCTTACTGCCTGTTTACATATCTGTGGAATAATATCCAGGGTGGGAGAAAGAGCTTTTGTCTGCTTGAGAAAAGTGTGAATGTTGCAATTGGTCAGCTTGATTAGTACTGAATGGCCTTGCAGCTTCAAAGCCTAGCTGCTTCCTGCCTGGGGGAATCCTTTGTTGGGAGGTGTTTGCTGGCCTTGATTGTTTCTTGTCTGGAATTCCCCTGTTTTCAATTAAACGTAGTTTGTGCCACAAAAACAAAGTTTCTGGAGTAGAACAACTATTTTCAAAGTATCGCACAATTACACAGGAAATAACAGTGTCAAACCAGGGACACATTTTCTTTCAAATTTTGTTACAGATTCAGAGTTGGAAGAGGCTTAAAAGGCAACCAGTCCAACCTCATTTTGCCAATAAAAACACTTCCGACAGATGGCCACCCAGTCTCTGCTTAAAAACCTCAAAAGAAGGAAACTCCATCACACTCCAAGGCAGCATATTCTACTCTCTCATAGCCTTTACTCTCAGGACGTTGGGTTGTTGTGAGTTTTCGGGGTTGTATGGCTATGTTCCAGAAGCATTCTCTCCTGACTTTTCGCCTGCATCTATGGTAGGCATCCTCTGAGGACCTCACAACCTCTGAACATGCCTGCCACAGATGGGGGTGAAACATCAGGAGAGAATGCTACTGGAAACCCGGAAAATTCATAACAATCCAGTTATTTCGGTCATGAAAGCTGTCAATACATTGGGTTGCTGTAGATATTTTCGGGCTATATGGCCATGTTCCAGAAGCATTCCCTCCTGATGTTTCGCCTGCATCTATGGCAGGCATCCTCTGAGGACCTCACAACCTCTGAACATGCCTGCCACAGATGTGGGTGAAACATCAGGAGAGAATGCTACTGGAAACCCGGAAAATTCATAACAATCCAGTTATTTCGGTCATGAAAGCTGTCAATACATTGGGTTGCTGTAGATATTTTCGGGCTATATGGCCATGTTCTAGAGGCATTCTCTCCTGACGTTTCGCCTGCATCTATGGCAAATATTCAGAGGATGCTTGCCATAGATGCAGGCAAAACGTCAGGAGAGAATGCCTCTAGAACATGGCCATATAGCCCGAAGAAACCTACAACAACCCAATGTATTGACAGCTTTCATGACCGAAATAACTGGATGGTTATTAATTTTTCCGGGTTTTCAGTAGCATTCTCTCCTGATGTTTCACCCACATCTGTGGCAGGCATGTTCAGAGGTTGTGAGGTCCTCAGAGGATGCCTGCCATAGATGCAGGTGAAACGTCAGGAGAGAATGCTTCTGGAACATGGCCATACAACCCCGAAGGCCTTCAACAATATATTGTCAATACATTCTCAGGAAGTTCTTCCTAATGTTTTGGAGGAATCTCTTTTCCTTGCCCCACTGACTCCTACAAGACCCATACATTTCCCCATTCACTCTTCATTGTGGGCCACTCTGGGATACATACTACATGCCAGGCCTCACCTGCACCAGCTGGGAGTTGGGCATGGCCAAAAGGCTGGCCACGCTGGAGAGCTTGCCAAAGAACTGGTCCGCCAGTTGCCCAAAGCCAACACTCTGGGCCCATTCCAAGAGAAGCCGCAAAGTGGCCCTCACTCTCACCCCTTTCGACCAATGGAAGCAGCCGAGGGAGGATCCTGGAGGAGAGAGAACAAGGTGGGAGCATCACCATCATCACACCTTCCTCGCTGAAAAAGAAATGATACAAAGCAAACCAGAACTGATAGATCGGTCCTTCTGTCATCCCAGCTACATTAGCTGAGAAGACTTAGGATGCAATATTTCTGAAAGTTGGGGAGAATGATCCCCTGTTATCTTGTGCCATTGGATTGAAAACCCAAGGAGATAACTGGGTTGTTGTAGGTTTTTTCAGGCTATATGGCCATGTTCTAGAGGCATTTTCTCCTGACATTTTGCCTGCATCTATGGCAAGCATCCTCAGAGGTTGTGAGGTCTGTTGGAACTAGGAAAATGGGTTTATATATCTGTGGAATGACCAGAGTGGGACAAAGAACCCTTGTCTGTTGGAGCTAGGTGTGAATGTTTCAACTGACCACCTTGATTAGCATTTGATGGCCTGACAGTGACTAATCTATTAAAAAACGCTATAATTACAACAGTAAAACAGCAGAGAGGAAACAATCAGGCACATCTAATCACCTCTCAACAAAAGACTGACCCAGGCACTGCCAGGCCATCAAATGCTAATCAAGGTGGTCAGTTGAAACATTCACACCTAGCTCCAGCAGACAAGAGTCCTTTGTCCCACCCAGTGATTCCGGCCACGAAAGCCTTCGACAATACCAAGGAGATAACTCTTGTAGTTTTTTAGAAATTTTGAAAATTCCCCAAAAATCTATGGATAAGGAAATATTCTGAAACTTGATGGGCTAAGAGTAGATATATTCTACCACTGTAGCAAGTTTCACCCCAGTAGCTGTGAACATGAAGGAGAAAGGAGACCCTGAGGTTTCCCCATTTGAGAAATTAATATAATATAAAAGTAACAAAATTTCATTACTCTCATAGTAACAATTTTTTTACTGACACTTTAGAAATGAAATTTCTAAATGCTCCCTAATTTTGTAACACAATCACACAGCCTTAAATGAATTTTGTGCTTAGACTCAGGTCCCTTCTCCAAGATCTCGTTATGTATGTGCAAGTATTCCAAAATAATAATAAAAATCCCAAATATGGGACACTTCTGTTCCTGAGCATTTGGATGAGAGAAGCTCGACCTGTTCTTTGCATTTTTGGAGAACATCTCTGAGATTCTCCCGCCTTCCTCTTCTAAACCAAGGATTCCCAAACATTAACCTTGAAGGTGTTTTGGACTCCAACACTCAGAAGTCCTGTCCTTGGCCAATGACAGGAGATACTGCAAACTGAGGTCCAAAACACCTGGAAGACCAAAGTTTGGGAGATACTAGTCAAAAACAGGAGATACTGTGAACCGAGGTCCAAAACACCCGGAAGACCAAAGTTTGGGAGATACTAGTCAAAAACAGGAGATACTTCAAACTGAGGTCCAAAACACTTAGAAGACCAAAGTTTGGGAGATACTAGTCAAAAACAGGAGATACTGTGAACTGAGGTCCAAACACCTGGAAGACCAAAGTTTGGGAGATACTAGTCAAAAACAGGAGATACTGTGAACTGAGGTCCAAAACACCTGGAAGACCAAAGTTTGGGAGATACTAGTCAAAAACAGGAGATACTGTGAACCGAGGTCCAAAACACCTGGAAGACCAAAGTTTGGGAGATACTAGTCAAAAACAGGAGATACTGTGAACTGAGGTCCAAAACACCTGGAAGACCAAAGTTTGGAAGACACTATTCAAAACAATTTTGGATTTCAGCAAATATCCACTTTCAGCCTTGGGAACCTCAGGGTTTCAGGGATGGCCCAAAATCCACAAAGCCAACACAGAATGGAAGTCACTGGAAGTTTGGCTTGGGCTGAGAGATTCACCTTTCTCCATGAGCTGGTTGAAGAGCAAGGTGTTGGAGAAGAAGAACAGGTAGGCAAACATCTGGGAGGCAATCTCCAGGTGCACCTCATACTGGTGGAGGAGGTCCAAAGTGGCCTGGTAGATCAGCACCACTTTGCGGATTTCCTCCGGCAACGGAGGAGACGACAGCCAGCCATCTTGGACTTCGCTTTGGAAGGGGTTGCATTCCAACAAGGGCGGCAGGGATACATACAGAGACTGAGCATGGGGGGCAGGACAGAAAGAGAAAGCCACAGCACTCGGTTATTTTCAAGCACATATGTGTCCCATCTGTACATCCAATAAGCATTGAAAATTGCATTAAAATTATTAGAATAATAACATTTTCCCCTTTGATGCAACCCCCCCCCCCCAATCATACTGCTTTCCAAAGCTACAAGGGTTATCTGGAAAGTAAGGTTACAAGACACGTAGATCTGGTAGGGAAATTTTGCAGGAGAAGTTGGTATCACTGCTATGTAGTGGGAAGCCAGCAGAAGCGAATGAGCAGTGCCAGTCGTCAGTAGCTCATCGTCTGGCGTCGTGGTGAAGGTTAGAGATGAGCGTCCACATTCCGTTTCCCTCCAAGTGGGAAGTTTGTGCTGTAATTCGCTACCTAAATGCTAAGGGCATGGACAGGTTATCTGGAAAGTAAGGTTACAAGACACGTAGATCTGGTAGGGAAAATTTTCAGGAGAAGTTGGTATCACTGCTATGTAGTGGGAAGTCAGCAGACGCGAACGAGCAGTGCCAGTCGTCAGTAGCTCATCGACTGGCGTCGTGGTGAAGGTTAGAGATGAGCGTCCACATTCCGTTTCCCTCCAAGTGGGAAGTTTGTGCTGTAATTCACTACCTAAATTCTAAGGGCAAGAACACCGTTGCGATTCATCGCGAGATGGTTTCAGTTTATGGAGAGGATGTTAAGACAGCATGTGGCAAAATGGGTACAGAATTTCAATTGCGGAAGGACAGAAATTCACAATGAAGACAGAAGTGATGACTTGGCTGAAAAAGGTGGAGGGAGACTTCCATGATACAGGCATCAAAAAACTTGTTGCACGAATGACAAAATGTATTGAACTGAATGATTTTGTCGTGTCAGGAGCGACTTGAGAAACTGCAAGTCGCTTCCAGTGTGAGAGAATTGGCCGTCTGCAAGGACGTTGCCCAGGGGACGCCCGGATGATTTGATATTTTTGTCATCCTTGTGGGAGGCTTCTCTCATGTCCCCATATGGGGAGCTGGAGCTGATAGAGGGAGCTCATCCGCCTCTCCCCAGATTCGAACCTGTGACCTGTCGGTCTTCAGTCCTGCCGGCACAGCGGTTTAACCCACTGCGCCACTGGGGGCTCCTAACTGAATGGTGATTATGTGGAAAAATAATGTAATACCTATGCTACAATCCATATAAGTTTTATTAAAATATATTCATTCTTTGTATTTAAAAATATTATAATCTTACTTTCCGATATACCTCATACAGTGTGATATACCTCGTACAGGGAAACGGAATGAGGATGCTCATCTCTAACCTTCACCACAATGCCAGTCAATGAGCTACTGACAACTGGCCCTGCTCATTCGCTTCCACTGGCTTTCCACTACATGACAGTGAGACCAACTTCTCCCGCGAAAATCCCCCGCAAGAGCTACATGTAATCTTACTTTCTGGAGAACTCTCGTATTTGCTGTTTAGAATATATTTGGCATAAGGAAGCCTCAGAATGTGTGGAGTCTCCATCTCTGGAGCTTTTAAAACAAAGACTAAATGGACATCTGTCGGGAGAGTTTTGATTGTGTCTTCCTGCATGGCAGAAGGGGGCTGGACTGGATGGCTTTTGGGGCCTCTTCCAAACCTATGAGTCGATATAATAGTCTTAATTTAAACATGACGCCCTGCACAGAAAATGCTGTCTCCTGCTTGGTTTTGTGCAGATTTCAGTTGCAAATGGTGAAAGTATTGTCGAAGGCTTGCAAAGCTTGGGAGGGTTGCTTGTCTTAAAAGACTACAACTTCCAGAATGCAAACGGATTCATTCCCAAGGACTGGGGCACTTTCACTGTATTCTGCCATAAATATAGCTCTGGAAAGAGCTTTCCACAAAGCAGAGAAAGGAAGGCAGCAAAAGGAGACGAAACAAAGCAGGCAGCTTCCCAAACCTGAATCTCCTCCGCCTTCCCAGATCTGGCCAAAGGCTTTGGGCAAGAGGCAGAGTCATTGCGCCCGTTATAGCTCGTTCTGCCGGTGGAAAGAGGTCTCCACCCTTCAGACACAAACACTCTTTCTTTCCACTGGCACACAGCAGGCTCTGTTTGAGATATAAATATATATATGTTTCCTAAGACAGCAGGCGGAAATCTTTTTCTGCCAGGGACCCAAGGCTGACAAGGCTATACCTGGAGATTTTACAGAAAGTGATAGGTATTTGGTAAGGAAGCAAATCAATCACACTTTCCCAGTGTCCTGATCTCACCAAGACAGTCCCATTTAATCCTCTATCTTCCCACTTTACAATCTGTTTGAAAAATATCCAGATCTCTTTCATAGAATCCTAGAGTTGGAAGAGACCTCATGGGCCATCCAGTCCAACCCCATTCTGCCAAAAAGCAGGAAAATTGCATTCAAAGCACCCTCGACAGATGGCCATCCAGCCTCTGTTTAAAAGCCTCCAAAGAAGGAGCCTCCATCACACTCTGGGGCAGAGAGTTCCACTGCTGAACAGCTCTCACAGTCAGGAAGTTCTTCCTCATGTTCAGATGGAATCTCCTTTCTTGTAGTTTGAAGCCATTGTTCCATTGCGTCCTAGTCTCCATGGAAGCAGAAAACAAGCTTGCTCCCTCCTCCCTATGACTTCCCCTCACATATTTATACATGACCCCCATCATGTCTCCTCTCAGCCTTCTCTTCTTCAGGCTAAACATGCCCAGCTCTTTAAGCCGCTCCTCATAGGGCTTGTTCTCCAGACCCTTGGCCATTTTAGTCGCCCTCCTCTGGACACATTCCAGCTTGTCAACATCTCCCTTCAATTGTGGTGCCCAGAATTGGACACAATATTCCAGGTGTGGTCTAACCAAGGCAGAACAGAGCATGGGGAGCATGACTTCCCTGATCTAGACACTAGACTCCTATTGATGCAGGCCAAAATCCCACTGGCTTTTTTTGCCATCGCATCACATTGTTGGCTCGTGTTTAACTTGTTGTTCACGAGGACTCCAAGATCTTTTTCACACGTACTGCTCTCAAGCCAAGCGTCCCCCATTCTGTCTCTTTGCATTCCATTTTTTCTAAGTGGAGCATCTTGCATTTGTCCCTGTTGAACTTCATTTTGTTAGTTTTGGCCCATCATCTCTCTAATCTGTTCTTTTAATGCGTCGTGGTGTTATTGTTGATGTTTGCTGCTAGTTTATGAGTTTATTTATTGTTGTATTGTTGTTGTTGTTGTTTTACTGATGTATTTGGACTCAGCCTCTTGTAAGCTGCACCAAGTCCTTCAGGAGATGGTAGCGAGGTACAAATAAAGGTTATTATTATTATTATTATTATTATTATTATTATTATTATTATTATTAAGGTAGTCTTGAATTCTGCTCCTGTGCGCTGGAGTATTGGCTATCCCTCCCAATTTGGTGTTGTCTGCAGACTTGATGATCATGCCTTCTAACCCTTTCATCTCTTTTTACTTTCCCCCCTTTTGTCCTCAAGCTTCCTTCAGTTGCGCAAATTGCTACCCCAACCTATTAATATTTGCATTATGTTGGACTCCCTGGTGGTGCAGCGAGTTAAACCACTGAGCTGTGGAACTTGCTGACCAAAAAGTTGGCGGTTCGAATCCAGGGAGCAGTGTAAGCTCTCGCTGTTAGCCCGACTCCTCCCAACCTAGCAGTTCAATAATAATGTGAGTAGATCAATAGGAAGGTAATGGCACTCCAGGCAGTCATGCATATGGCCACATGACCTTGGAGGTGTCTATGGAAATTGCGAGCTCTTCGGCATAGAAATTGAGATGATCACCAGCCCCCCGAGTCAGACACAATTGGACTTAACGTCAGGGGACAACTTTTATCTTTTGTTGTTGTTGTTGTTGCTGCTGCTGTTATTACTAGCTTAGGTTCCCGGCATTGCCCGGGTTATTGGCCACATGACCTTGGAGGCAACGTCAGCTCTTCAGCTTGGAAATGGAGATGAGCATCAACCTCCAAAGTTGGACACGACTAGTCTTGATTTCAAGGGGAAACCTTTACCTTTTTTTATTGCACTACGCTGACCTCTGACTACTTGCATTCATAGTTTACACTACGTACACCAACTCATCAATATTTGCATGTGGACCTTACACAATGCCAAACCACAAATATCTCCAAAGTGTTGCTGTTCCAAAAACGTAACGTCCCCAAGCTGTGGCCAAAACTGTTCATTGACATGAAACAAGTCCTTATTCTTGTGCCTGATTCGCACACAACCTGGACACTAGTGTGGTGGAAGAATGAGCGGGCGAGCCGTTTCTCCTCAGCCAGGGACAATATGTCCCTTCTGCTGCCTTTTCTATTCTTAGTCTTTCAAAGTGCTCTTTCAGAAATGCACCGAGGCTGGCGGAGATCTTCCAGAAGAAGGACAAGAGGGATCCTCTCACCTCTGCAGGAGTCTACCGTGTACCATGCAGTTGTGGACAAGTCTACAGAGGGACCACCAAATGCAGCAGCATTGCCCAAACACGAATCAAAGAACATGAAAGGCACTGCAGACTACTTCAACCAGAGAATTCAGCCATAGCAGAGCACCTGAAGAACCAACCTGGACACAGCATATTATTTGAGAACACAGAAATGCTGGACCACTCTCACAACCACCATGTCAGACTACACAGAGAAGCCATTGAAATACACAAGCATGTGGACAATTTCAACAGAAAGGAGGAAAACATGAATATGAACACAATCTGGCTACAAGTATTTAAAAAAACTCAAAAATTACAACAGCAAAAAAACAGAGAGTAAACAATCAGGCACATCAAATCACTCTCAACAAAAGATTCCCCCCAGGCACTGACAGGCAATCAAATGCTAATCAAGGTGGTCAGTTGAAACATTCACACCTAGCTCCAGCAGACAAGAGTCTTTTGTCTCACCCTGGTCATTCCACAGATATATAAACCCATTTTCCTACTTCCAACAGACCTCACTACCTCCGAGGATGCTTGCCATAGATGCAGGCGAAACGTC